CCCAAACGGCTAGATCCCAGCAGACACCTGGGGGCGGGGAGGCGCTCGCCCCAGCGGCTGCAGAAAGTCAGCTAGCGGCTGCAAGCGCCCGTTATTTCGGCAGCCAGGGGTAGGCCGGGTGAAGGAATGTGCCGAGAAGGGTCAGCGAAGGAGCTCCAAAGGGGTCCCCAGACCTTACCAGCACTGGAGGTGGAAGGCGGCCGGGCAGTGGTCACAGCACAGGAGATCCCCACCTTCTTTGCAGCTATCGCAGCTGTCGTGGTTGGTGGCCCTGCCGCTTCTCCGGGGCTCTTTTTCAGGCTTCCGACTCCGCTTTTCTGCCTCGTCCGTCTTGGGGGGAGCCAGCAGAGCTTGGATTTGCTGCACACACACATAAACGGCGTGTGTGCACACTCGGAGCTCCCGGGCGGTCCGTCGCCCCCCCGGCAGGGCTTCTCCGTCACCCACCCCTCTCCCCCCTTTTGTCCTTCTTCCTCCCATCCAAGCTGCTCCCAGAACCTCTCAGCCCCCCGGAACCGGGGGGAGCCCACCCTAACAGCGTTCCTGCAGCACAACGAGAACAGCCTCTTCCAAATGGGGAGGATCAGGGTAGGGGGATGGGGAGAGGGTGCGCGGTTCCCTTCTCGCCACTTCCTTGTATGGACAGTGGGGGACTCCAAAGCCAGGCTCTGGAGAGGCCTGAAACCCGGTACCCGGACGTGCTGGGGGAAGCACAAAGGGGCCGACAAGAAGGGGGTGGGGAGGCCCGCCGGTGCAACGACATGGAGTGGGTTGGTGCCTCGGGAGAGCGAATCCAGGGCGGCGGGTAGGTGAAACTGCTGCAAACGTCCTCGGAGGCTAAGCTCAGCCCCTCGAATTGCAAAGAAGGGAGGGAGAATCTGGGTGAGGAAGAATCCCCCTCCCCCGGCCCTTTTGCGCTGTGAGCTCAGGACCGGCTTTGTGGGGCGGAGGGCGGAGGTTCCCTCCCAGCGCTGGGGGAAGGGGATGAGGAGGGCCACTCTTACCTCCATCAGCCCCCCCGACGTGTCCAAGTCGTACACGATCGTCTTGGTCTCCATTTTCTCCCACATTCATCCACCTCCCGGGCTGGGCGCTCTCTGCTCCGGCCCCCCCAACCCCGGGGGGAGGGGGGAAGCGGGGGGAGGGGGCGCTCCTGACCCCGGCCCCCCTTCTTTTTTCCCAACACGGGTCCCGACTTCCTCGCCCTGGCTCCCCCCCACCCCCCGGCCCCCAGTCCCCGGGACGGCAGCGTCCTCCCCACGGGCCGTGAGGGGGGAGCGGCCCCTCAACCCCGGCCCGGCGGCTGGCTGCACGGTGGGTCCCGGCTCCGGGGGTCAGGCCTCGGCGGGGCCTAGTCCCACAGGCTAAAGCCGGCGCTGGCGACCGCTGGTCCGGCCGGGAAGGCTGGCGGGCGCTGCCATCCCGGGGTTGGGGGGATAGGAGGGGGGGTGAGAGGTTAGGTGAGGTTGTGGTACGTGAGGTGACTGCGGGGAGGGTGATGGGGGGTGGTCCCCGGGCTCCGCCTCTCGCCGCCGCCGCCGTCTGCGTCCCGGCTGCCGCGCACTTGGCGCAAACTTACCGCGAGCGCCCGCAAAGCCACCCGCGCAGGCGCCCCGGGATCGCCGCTCGCCGCGCGCAACCGCAGTGACAGCCGGCGGCCGGGCTCCCGCGCAGCCGCAGTGAGGGGGTACCCCCCAGCGCGCAGCCGCGCTGGCATTCGTCTGGAGCGCCGAAGCCCCGCCTTTCTGCCTTGCGCCAGCGTACTGAGAAGAGGAGGGCGGGACCTGAGGTCTCGCGCAGGCGCCTGGGAGAGCCTCTAAGGGTCACAGCGCAGCCGCAGGAACATGGGGGCTCTTCATCCATTGGTGTTTGTGTATAGAACCAAGAATACTCTGTTCCTGCGCAGGCGTGTTGAGAATGCTCCCCTCCCTCCCCACAACACAGCCGCCTTCCGCGCAAGCGTATTGTCACCTGCAGGCCCTAACAAGAATGCTTCTACTTTCGCCATTTTGGTAATGGGATATAGGCTACCATGTCCTTGGAGTCCTCAGGCATGAACAGGAAGGAGTAAGGTGTGGTGTTGGCTGGAGCTGGTAGGCTGTCGGTGACAGCTGTGCTCCTAGGGTTATTGTACTGGATCGTTTGGTTCCCAGCGTCAGGTGTGGCTGGACTAGGCGCCATATTGGTAAAGAGAAAAGAAAAGCCACCGCGACGGAAAACTATTCTTTTGGTGTGGGGTTGGATGGCTACTGTTCACACTTCCCTCTCGCTCCCGACACTAAATTTTAGCCTGAGAATCTCTGCCTTGCGTAGTGATGACACCATGGAGAGTTCCGCCTGCTCGTTACTATCCTCTCTTGATCACTGTCCCTGGGAACGACTCCAGAGGAGGCCAACAGCGAAGAGTTAGTAACGCTGACAACGCCCAGCTACCTGCCTATAGAAGACTTCAACTCCCAGTTTGCAATGCGCAAGAGGGCCAAAGGGCGAACGCGAGCGCATTGCAACCTGGGCTCAAGAATCGCGAGGGATCTGGTGGATTGTGGGAGCCGTAGTTCTGTGTGCATGCTGTGCACTGTATGGTGGGATGGCCTCGGGAAGAGTGATTTGCCTGCTGGGAGGGGATGCTTTTGAGAGCTGCAGTGTTGTGTATTGGGATTTGTAGTTTGAAGGCCTCACCTCGAATTCTGGGCTTCCCTCCCCACCCCCCACGGCACCTTTCCCTCTCATTGGTGTCGTCTTCAGAGATGGCCAGTTATCTCTTGCCTGACGGTAGGGGAAGAGGTGGCGAAGGGAATGGCATTACTGTGCCTGCCACTAGGCGTTTAGTTGGCATTGTTGCCAGGTAATTGTGTCCAGCTCACCTCTGATATTAAGGGGGTACTTAACGTTTGAAGAAGGATAAAACTAGAAAGGGATTAAAGACCATCTGTGTGAATCTCATTTCAAGATGCATAGAAAGGAGCAGTGATTTTCCTAGTTCGCATAGTGAATTTATGACAGACTTATGTATGAATGAAACAGATTTGATTCTCAGGCCAGGACACTCTCCCCTACACCATGCTAATTGTCTGTATGGAGTTCTTGCTGCTGCTTCTTTTGGGATATTAAGGAGGTTGAGTTAGATAGTAGGGATGTCTGTGTGTGGTCTTGGGGCTCTGTTTGTCTGACTTTTCTGATGATTCTTTTGGTGCCTGGGAAGAATGATAAGGTCATAGGCCTTATCTTTCGTGTGTGTGTGTGTGTGTGTGTGTGTGTGTGTGTGTAGATGTCATGTAGACTGGCCGCTCTCTGCCCTCTCCCAGCCTCAGCAAACAAGAAATCTTAGTGGCTATGGCCCAGAGAGGTGGACTTCAGAGAGAATAGCGCTGAGCTAGATGTATGAAAATGGCCAGACTTCATCTCTGCTGGGGCTTTGTTTCATGTCACAGGCCCTCAGAAGTTGGAACCACATGTGCCCTCTCCACTGATTCCTTCTTACTGCTCAGGACCCAGCTGTGCTGCTGTGTCAGCCTGAAGGCATTATGGGGCAGAGAAGTCCATTGGCATATGGCAAATGAATAAGGCTTTGCTTTGATCAACATCGTCATTTGCAGTGGAGGACAGGAACAGGTGGTGGGCTAGAGAGGAAAATAATACTTGGCTCTGTTGACAAGTGCCAGGGGAACTAATCATTCTACACACCTTCCTCTTAGACCTTGGAGGGTGAGGTCAGCCCAGAGGTTGGAAGTTGGTGCCACCTTGGAGAGCTCCAGCCCTGGCTGTTCCAGGGGAATTGAGAAGAGCTAGCAAGCAGGTGGGATACAGATGTCTTCCGAAGTGACCTCTTGTGGCTAATATAGGCACTGCACTCTACACCGGCTGGAGTTTCTCCAGCCTTCGAGGAGGCCTGTGGTAGAGCTGGGAGGTGGGAAGCCATAAGTGATCAAGACCTCTCTGTTGGAAGACTGTGGAAGTAGAAGGTGCTGGTTGCTGCCATTATTTCCTTCGTGGATTTTGTCTTCTGGCTTCTGAAGTGTCCATAACTCTGTTGCCTGCCTCTTTCTCTTACTCTGGGGAGCAGCCATGCAGAGGACACCTCTAAGCGTGGGTATGCATGCTGGGAGCCAGGGCTGGGCTAACACTTTCATCTCAGGAGGTGCTGGGAGCCATAGGAAAGCCATAGGGAAGGGGTACCGGTGCTACAAGTGACCAAACATGGCAACCTTAAGCAGATTCTCTCCAGCCAACTTCTTTCTGGAGCCCACGGATAGAGCTTTTGCTAAAACAGGAGCCAAGTCCCTACCCTAAGTTGCATTGCCCCTCCTCTTGATAGTCTGGATGTTCCCTGAGGCCAGGACAGACTAGGGCCTCATGTTCAGGGGTTCAGTCTCTGAATCCGGTTCCAATTTTCTAAACATTGCTTGTTGGGAAAGAAGGGGAAGGAGAGAGGCATCAGGCTTCCTGGGCCTTGCCAACAATACAGTGGCACTGAGGAGCAGCTTAGGAGTATGCCAGACTGTAGTTCTGGACCTAGCAAAGAGGAAGAAAGGAAGCATTGGGGGTAGATGAGCGGTTGGATTCCTGGGCTTCCAAACCGCTGTGGGCCACCTACTGGGGCCTCTTATTTCACCTGCCATCTGTTGCACTGACCTTGTTGGAACAGTAGCCCCTGGAGTACTGCATGTAATTTGTTTGATAAAATCTGGGAGTGATCAGTTGGTGGGTCCAGCATGCCTTCTGGTCTTGATGTCCACATCTCATTTATTTCCCAACTCCCTTCCCTCCAAGAAAGTACCATCTACCTGGCCATTGCTTTTTTTTTTTTTTTTTTTCCAAAAAACACCATTTTAATAAGGAAACAACAGAAATAGAAGATTGTTCTCTGGAGCCCAGACCCCATATAATACATTACATGTTCAAAGTGGCCTGTAGCCAACTCCTGGGTCTTTCCCTGGGTCTCTGACCCCATGTTCCATGCCAAACTCCTGGGCCCTTGTACCTCTGCTCCTCTCCAGAATATGCCTGCCCACTCCCCTTATCCCAAAACACAGTGGCCAGGAGGGGAGACTGGCAAGTGGCTGGGGTTAGAGGAGGGACTAGTGGGAAAGAAGATGTTTGTAAAGCCAGACTGACATCAGGGGAAGATCTCCCTCTCCTCAGGGTGTAGGGCTGCCAGGGCAGCAGTGGGGTGGCCTGCTTTGGTGTGGAGCATGAGTGCCTAGGGAAGCCCAACCTGAGCTTCGGGTAGGGTCCCTAAGCCCCTTAGGATCCCTTAGAATTATTGCCTCCAGGAAGCAGAACTGTCCATTCCTGGGGCCTTAGAGAAGGACTAGAGACCTCCCCGCCCGAGGGGCTGATGTCAGCATGCCAGGACTACCCAGAGGTCACTGTTGACAGCAGCTTTGGCCACTAGTGATGGCCCTGTGAGGAGCACCCTGGTGCAGTTTCCACCACCATCAAGTTAACCCCGCTGCAAGGTGCCACATGCCGAGCTGGATGGTGGTCACCTGGAGAGAAGTGCTCTTCCTCGGCTTGTGGATTCCAGGCTAGAGGTCCAGGGCATGAAGGAGAGTCAGGAGAATGCTGGTTCCTGATGCGTGTGCTCCAGCTGTGCTCTGCCCAGAGGCAGATGCCCCCTGACTTGAACCCAAGGAAGGGCCCTATGTGGGCAGTGGTACCAAGAAAATGGGCCCTGGAGGGCATTACAGGTGGGGAAGGGCACAGCTTCTTGAGGGATTGGTGGCGTCTCTTCCCAGATGGTATGTACAGGAGGTGTAGGGACAGCAGGAGGCTGGAAACTCTGCTGCTGGGCTGTGATGCTGGGCTGAGCTGACTCCTCCAGGCTGCCCCAACTAGATGGAGACTTCATATTCTTTCGTCTCCTGCAAAGTAAAGAGACTGCTTGGAGTTGGAAACTTGTATAAGGTTTGCCAGCCCATAATCCACCTTCCCCAGGAAAAGGGAAAGAGTGAGAGGGTTTGGAGGGACCCTCAGGGGTACCTGCCCAAGGGAGCATAGATGAGGTCCTGGATAGGGTGCAAAGAATGGCATAGATACTTACTCCAATTTCGTAAGTTGGATTGTCAAATGCTGACTCCACAGTAATGCGGTCATAGGGGCGGGGTCGTGTTTGCGGCAGCCGCAGGGGGCTTTTCCCCTGGAGCCTGTGGGACAGAAAATCCTGTGAGTCAGAAGTGCTGGGCAGGAGTGAGTCAGGTATGTAGGGCAGGAAGGGAAACCGGACTCACCTAGAGAAGTAGAGGTACACACCTCCCACCAAGAGCGCCATCACCACCAATGGCAAGAAGATGGCAGCTGCAATGTGGGCGGCATCCAGGGTGCTGGAGGCAGCAGGTGTCTTGGCAACTGAAAACACAGAGGTCGGGATTGGGGCAGAAGTCCCTGTCACCCAGAGCCCATATCTGCCCTCACCTCTGCCCAGGAGAATCCAGCCACCAGCTCCCTCTAGCTAGCTAGGGGCAGGGAAAGAACTTTTGCTCTGCTGGTCCCAGACCTCTCTCTTTCTCCTCCCTCCCTGCTTGGGCAACCCATGGCCTGGGAGCTGTGAGAGCCAGGGCAGGGAGACTATTTCCCAGGCCCTCAGCGGGGGGCTCACCATCCAGGCTGCGGCCGCTGTAGAACCCATCCAGAGAGGCTGGAACAAGAGGGGGGCGCCAAGGGCAGAGGTGAGACCAATGGGCCAAACCACTAAGGCAGGGAAGAGGCTGATCATGGGAAGGATTTGTCCAAGGAGAGCCCACCCCAGCATTTGTCTTGGTGTCACCAGGTCAGAAGGATCTGGCAGAGGCTGGGGAGACCAAGGGTAACGTGAAGGGGGTGGGGCCAGGGGAGTTCTGGTTCTCAGCATTTGGCATCTTTGCCAGAGCAGCCCTGTGGAACAGGCAGGAGTTGTGAACACTCACCAGCGCTACAGATGGGTGGAGGGTCACTCCAATGTGAAGGATGCCCGGGCACACACTTGATGCTGGCCTGACCCTTCAGCACGTAGCCAGGGGCACAAGAGAAGTGGACAGTAGCCCCTGCTGGGTGTAGCCGCTTCTCAGGACTGTGGGCACCGTTCTCAGGGGCGCTGAGGCCATGGCATGGCTTGAGCTGTTCCACTGCAAAGCAGGCAGAGCCCAGTGAGGATGCCAGGCCCCTGGCCTCCAGAGGTGGCTTCTTTTATCTCCTACCGGAGGCTTCCCTCCTACCCGTTTGACACTTACGGAGGCATTTAGGGGCCCGGTCGCTCCACTTGGGGCTGCTGGCTTGCCGGTCGTGGCAGGTGAGGATGGCACTACCCGTCAGCACAAAGCCCTGGTCGCAGATGTACTGCACGGTGGCCCCCACAGGAAATTTGGGGCTAGATATGAGGCGTCGGCTGTGCTCCACGTCCCCGGGGTCGTGGCAAGAAGTCACTATGGGTAGGGGGTGGTGGGGGAGAGCAGCCCAGGTAGAACTCCACAAAAGCCAGCCCGCCCTGGCTTTATTCCAGGTCGGCCAGTATCTTCATGACACGTGGCCCCGCCGCCTGTTCGTCTGTCCCTACCATTTCGCTGGTGTATCCCTTATTTTTCCTCTTCCCATCCACTAGAATCAACAGACACTAGCAGTCTCCCAGGAAGGAAATATTTGAAGTACTTGGTGGAGAACCCTTTGAAAAGGTATTCATTCCTCCATTTCACAGGTGAGGAAACCGAGGCTATGAGAGGCGGAGGAAGCTCAAGGGTACCAGCCAATACCAGCCGAAGTCTGGTTCAGAATGGAGGAGAGGGGCTTGTAGCTTCCATTGAGGAAGGGAACGCAGGGAACAGGTGCACTCACCTCTCTGGCAGGAGGGCAGGTCCTCGCTCCAGGTTAGGTCCCACTGGCACATGAGGACACTGGATCCTACCACCTGGTAGCCGGGGTAGCACTGGTAAGTGACCACTGTGCCGTGTACCAGCTCAGGCTGAGACGGGCTCTTCCAGCCATTGGGGATCTCAGGCAGCTCCGGACAGGTGTCATTGCGGGGCACCTCTGGGGGCACAGGGGCAGCAAGGTGCGGGCCCTTAGCGGGCACTAAATTGTCTGTGCCTGCCTTCCTCACCGTGCGGCCACTCCAGCGCCTGCCAGTTTGTCCTGGGCCTAGCCTGGCCTGGGCAGCCTCAGCAATGCATTCCTTCCTGCCCGGGGGCCCCTCCTCGCCTGCCCCTGACATCATTCTGTCTCTTCGGTTCCTGGGTTATCATGTAGGCAGGCTTTGGCTCTGCTTTCTAAAGGACATCTGCCAGTTCCTCAGTCCTGAGAGAGGGGCCGGGTAGGGTGGGAAATTGTCACTGCTGTTAAAGCTTGTCAGAAAGGCAGAAACCAACACTTTTCCTCAGTTTCCTATTTTTGGTATGAAGGTCTTCCTGCTGCCTACCCAAATCTCTCTTGCTGCAACAGAAGGCCCCCTCTCACTGTGCCCTCGGGGAAGACTGAGAATAAGACTGGCTTCCTTCAGGTGACACCTGGGAAAGTGTCCAGCTTTCCCTTGTCAGATAAGAGCTCTCAGGTTCATGGCACTGGCCTCTCTGGCTTGCCACGATCTCTTCCCCCAGGCAGCAGGGCAGGGCAGGGGCAAGCTCACCAAAGAAGTGGATGACAAAGCCCTGCTGGTAGCCCAGCACCGAGGCCCCAGGGTCTGACTGGAACTGTATGGTGACGTCGGCCATGGAGGTAAAGAGCTTGAAGTGGCCACGGGGCCCTGAGTACTGGCCCAGGACCCGGGCTGTCAGGTCGTCCCCATCATAGAAGGTAAGCACGTCACCAGGGCCTATGCGCAGCCTGTGGAGGAGGACCGTCAGGGAGGGTGGGCCCGGGACCCCGGGCTGGGCTGGGCAAGAAATGGCCCCAGGGCTTAGGAGCTGGCTTGGCCTAGCCCGGTGAGCACTCACACTCGGACATCCAGCATGATGCGCTTGTCCTCTTCCACGTGCACGCCCCAAATGCAGTCCTGCCCACGGCTGTAAGGCTCCGGCCAGTTGGGGGAGAGCACCACACCAGCTGAGTCTGTGATCTCCCCACTGCACACAGCTGGAAGGCAGGGGAGGCCCCGGAGGTGCGTCCCCTCGGTGTCCCGCCTCACACCCCCAGCGCTATGTCCTGGGGCTGCCTCCTGCCCGCAGGAATACCTACCGCTGGGAGCCCCCACCTCCTCCTCGAGGGGAAGCTTGAATCACACATGTCACAGGGGCCCTATGACCCCAGGTTCTGCAGCTGGCTCTCCCGTCCCCACCCTGCTCCCTTTTCCCGGCAGACCCATCCACAGGTACCTACTGACCTCGGCAGGCTGGCTCTGTCTCATTCCACTGGGGGTCGTGGGGGTCGATGCACTCAATGATGATGGAGCCCTGCTCCAGGGTGTAGCCAGGGTCACAGCTGAACTCCACAGTGGTGCCCACGGGGTAGGAGGGGGCGCTGCTGCTGAAGTTGCCGTATTTGACAAAGGGCTCATAGCAGTGGCCCTGCTGGAAGGCTACAAACCAGGCCCAGCCCAGCTCAGTCGCAACCGGGGCAGACATGGGGCAGATGTTCTTCTGCCTCCCGCCCCAAGGCCTTTATGTTCTTGACCACAAATGCGTGTCCTAGGCTTGCAGCAGGGGCGGGATGCCCAGAGCACCCTACCCTGTCATGTTTGGGAGGCCGTCTTGATCGCCGTTGCATTCCCAGCACCTAGTTTTGTGCTTCATATACACAGGGCACTCAATAAATGTTTCTTTTTTGGATTAATTAACGAAGGCATGCATGCATGAGTGGTTCTAGAATGTCTCTAGTTTTCCGTCTCTAAGGGTTGGGGCCTTTTTTGCTCCTCAGACTCGAGAGGATTCATTCTCTTGGACTGTGGAGGGCCCGGGTCCAGGCAAGGGTCTCCCACAAAAATGGGGTAGGAATCCCAAACTGGACGGGAGGGATGGGGGGTGGGGCTAAGTGCTAGCTGAGCAAGGGCTAAGTTGGAAGGAGGGATGGTGGAATGGAGGTGGTGGGGGGAGGGTGTGAGAGAAGAGGCCCTGGGTTCAAGCCCTCCACCCCTGCGAGGCCCCAGCAGGCTCACCCTCATAGCGCAGGGCCATGCCTGCGGCTGCCCCGCTGCTGTCAGTACTGAGCTCCACGAAGAAGTGTCGGCCGGAGCTGAGCAGGCCTTCGATGGGCAGGTACTCCACCTCGTAGGAATCATACACTGGAGGGGCCTCCACATTGTCCCCATTACGGATGATGAGCCTGGGCCAGGAGAGGAGCGGCTGCACGGCTGGTCCTGTTGTCCCGGGTTGGGGTGTGGCCCAGGCTCGGGTCCCCGTCCTGCCAGCGGGGCATTAGCAGGCCGCGCACTCCTGTCCCACACCGGGCCAGGACCTCCCCTCACCTGTCGTCATCCTCCGCCAGGGAAACCTTCTCAAAGTGTAAGTGCAGCCGCTGGCCTTCGGGAGCCTCGAGCAGCCAGTGGCAGGTGAGATTGTTGCTGTAGTTGCCCGGGAAGCCCGGGGAGACGATGCGGCCGGTGGTGGCGTTGCGGGTCACTCCACCGCAGGCAGCTGCGAGACACGGCCAGGGCTGTGGGCTGGATCCCGGATCCTAGACCCACTGGATTCTGGATGGCCTGCCAAGCGTGCCTGCCCACCCCAGCTCTTGCGTCCTCTGCATGGGGCAGCAGGGGTATTTGCTTTCATGGTCCTGAAGGTCAGTCCTTGGCCCCTGTGACCCTGCAGCCCCAGGCAGCCCGGACTCCCTACCTCCTAACCTTTCACACCTCTGGGACATTTTCCTCCTAACCTTTCACACCTCTGGGACCATTCATGTGCAATCCCTTTGACTGTGGTAGATCTGCCATGGCCTAGCCAAGGGGTCCTGGGTGAGTCACTTCCTCTCTCTGCTGACTCCTCTGGGAGGTCTTCCCCAACTCCCCCCAGGCAGACTTTATTAAAGTCCCTTACCCGGGGCTCCAGTTATTGTTTGGATATGTCCCTTAACTAGGACCCCCTGGGGCAAGGGCCACGTCTTTTCAGGGCAGGCACAGAGTTGGTATTCAGTGTTTGTTGAATAAAATGAGTGAACGCATATAAAAAAGAGGGCAGGACTAGAATCTGGGCTGACAGACATCTGGTGGACGCACAATCCGCCTCCTAATCTTGTGCCCTCAGCAGACATTGCTAGCCAGGACCTGGCCTCACATGCTTTCTGAAATAGCATCACTACCCCCGTTGTTCCTGGGCTGACTCCTCTGGCCTGGGACTGTCCTCTTTCCAAGGGGAGGCTGAGTAGCTCTCCTGGCCCCATCACTGAGGACTTCTGGGTTACTTGGCCATGAGCTCCTGGCAGTTGAGTGGGGCCAGAGAAGGGGTTTCAAAGGCAAGCGGAGTGAGGCCGGTTCCAGGCAGCACTTTCCTCTCTTAGACACACAGCTCTGGCCCCTGCCTGCTCTCAGAGACCAGGCTGCCGTGGCGAAGACACAGCGCCTTTGTCTCCAGATGTTCAAGAGAGCAGAATCTTTTTTAATAAAGCTCCTGGGTGGGGTGGGGGTGTGGCATCTGGGTGGCTCAGCTGGTTAAACGACCAGCGCTTGATTTTGGCTCCGGTCATGATCTCCCAGTTTGTGGGTTTGAGCCCCTCATCGGGCACACGGAGCCTGCTTGGGATTCTCTGCCACCCCTTTCTCTTTGCCCCTCCCCTCCTCTCTCTCTCTCTC